GTAGTATTTTTTTTACATAACTGCAATAACACACACAGGATGTTCCATCCATCTTGTTCTCAAGGTCAAACTCACTCGTTATTTTCAGTTTATTAAAACCACAAAATCTTGTATTCACATCCCCAATATTACATCAGGTATGTGATCAGGTACCTTTTGCAGTAGGAAACTTAACTTGTAGTTGAATGGGAACATAAAAATCAGGGTTAAAATTGTAGCTAATCTAATCTGATAAGCCATCTATTTTTCAGTAAAATTTTGTTTAAAAACAACTCAATCAGAAACAACAAGCCAGACTAATCTTTGTTGATGACTCTCAAACATGTGCACTTGAAAGGGGCTTAAAGCTGTGGCTGACACAGGATGTCTTGCTTTAAATAGGATTCCTGAATCATTTGCATGTGCATATTGCTGTATGCAGCATTAATGCAGTGTCAGTAGCCACCTAATTGAGTAGGAAATGGCACCAAACCATTATGCGACTCAGTATCAGCTAACAGTATCGGTCTTGTTTTCTGTAATAAAGGACACTCAGTTGTCAAAGTTTGCTGCCAGCCACAACCTAACTGGCTCTCATCCCTCAGCACTGGCCCCATGCTCCGTATCATCCTCCACTGACCTTTGACCTCTTCACCTCTGACCCCACCATTCTAACGTCTCTCATGCTGGGAGACTGTAAGTAGCTTGTTGTGCCTGTCCGCCCTCCATCATGCTGTGCTGCTGTGTCCATTAACTGTGCCTCATCATAACAAGCAGCGTTCAGTCACTCAGTTAACTACTCACAGCTCTGTGCTGCCCCTGGTGAACGTGGCATGTGTTGCCCCAGCAGTTAATGAGGGCTTTTGACCCCTCAGTAAACCTCAAACTTGCTGTTTCAGGTCGCTTGAGTTTGGCCTAAGAGACTGGAGTTGGTCGTTGGATGATGTCGATAATGATGATGATGATGATATGTTCTTCTGAAGGAAGTCAAAGAGGGGGGACAGTGGGTAACTGGACCTCTGCATGTGTTTTTGCAGTTAATGGGTGGCTTCAGTGTGGCCAGATGCATGCATTTTTGAGTGATTTTTAAATGTAAAAATGAGTGTGAAACATGAAGTCAGTGTAATATAATAGATGTAATAGCGGTTGGGAAATATGCTTGCTGCACATGCTTATTGCACAAAAAGCAGACAGATTTGGGAGTAATCCTGGTCTGCATGTTTGCAAGAAGTAAAATATCACATAGTTTGACATTGTGGAAAAAATGCACTTAATCAATTCAATTCAAATTAGCTTTATTGGCATGAATGTGTAACGACAGTATTGCCAAAGCATCATACAAACTACATAATCACTTTCTTGCAGGTTACTTAAAAAATAACACTCTTAGATCTGTCCATTAAATATGAAGCAATAGCCAACAGCTGGTTAGCTTAGCAAAGTGTTATAAAAAACATCTCTGCCCAAGAAATAGTCCGGCACATAACCCTGCTGTTACAGCCAAGTCCCGTTTAACTTTAGAGGTGCTGGTAGGTGGATTTTGTTGTTTGGAAAGAGCCAGGCTAGCTGTTTCACCATGTTTCCAGTCTTTGTGCTAAGCTAAGCTAGCTCAAACTAACTACAAGAAAGCAAAAATGTGCTTTAATATTTTACTTATTGCAAATATGCAGGCCACGATTATTCTGTCTGCTGTTTATTAATCTTACTCGTACATTGTGTGGCTACTGGATAGCTTCCTTGTGTAATTTGAGTGGATTTTGTGTGGGTGTGCCTTTTGAAGTCCAGTCATTCTGTTGGTAGCATCCCAGGTTTTCACATCATATTTTCTCTCTCTCTCTCTCTCTCTCTCTCTCTCTCTCTCTCTCTCTCTCTCTCTCTCTCTCTCTCTCTCTCTCTCTCTCTCTCTCTCTCTCTCTCTCTCTCTCTCTCTCTCTCTCTCTCTCTCTCTCTCTCTCTCTCTTTTCACAGTTAACCCTGGCTGGAATCTTTGTGGATTAATGACGGCAGCCTGGATGCAGGTGTCTACGTGCTATATTTTTAGTGAAGTAGACTGAAAAAAATATACTTATCGTGGACAGAAACATTCACAGACACACTGGCTGTCGTCATGAGAACTGGGACTGTCTTTGTCATTTTAACAAGAGGAAAATGAGCAGTATTCAAAGCAAAAACAAAAAAACAAACCTCAGCGCAACACTCTGAATAAATCTGCCTTATTTTATAATCATGACAAAAAACATGGACATTTTATTATCAGATGCAGTGACTCACATACTGATTTGTGTTTGTGAGGTATTAGGCATGTGTGTGAATATTTGTATAAGAGGTCCGTCTGTGTATTGTAACACAGAAATTTAGCTCATAGTATATGATTGTTTTATTTTTATGGATATAAGTCAGCAGCACATTATAAAGTATATCCTTGTCCTGTAAATGAATCCAGTTTTACTCTTGGAGTCTTGATTTTGGGGCATGTTTTATTATACACAATAGTACAATTACAACATAAGACAGAATAATGTGAATTGAACAGAAACGATGTGTTTTCTTCTCGCCATTCATGAAAAATTCAAATAAATTGTTACCGTGATTGATTTTTCATTGATTGTGTAAAATCCCACGTGTAGGATTTGTCTCAGTGTTTTACCGTTAAGGACATATTACAATGCAAAGAAAAAAAAGTTGAAAAAGCCTCCTCCAGTATGAAGTAGATACTGCATCAAAAGCAGCAGACAGGCAGTGAAAGAAGTAAATACAGATCTATCTAGTTAAATAAGTTTTTCTGAGACAGGGGGGATTGGTGAAAACTGGGGTTTGAATTAGATTTCTCTACCCACATCTTCCCAGGTTGCACTGTACCTACAATTATCTTTAGATATATTCTATATAAAAATGATAGTAAATTTTAATGTACACTGTATAGTGAAGTGTTGCCACAAGGCAAACTACGCCAAAAAAGATAATGAAATTGATATGATATGAAAGTCTGTAGTGCATATCACTGATATTATAAATACAAATGTGTTATTGCAACACTGTAGTTATTCTTCAGAGTTGTTCTATCTTGACACCAGTGTATTTTAGGAGACTATTTGAACTATACCCGAATAGGTCCGTCTTTATCTTGCTAGTGCATGTGGAGTGAGTGGGCTTGACTGAAATAAATCTTTCAGAACAGCCTAAAGCCAACTGGCACTCATCATACATAATGTAATGGCTCATCATGTTGCCCATCTGCTAAAATTGTATTTCATACTGCAGGTCTAATCCATTCTCTCTATCAGCTGTGAGACTGAATGTACTGGTTAAATTAGCATGAAACCTGCTGTGCCGGCTGCTGTGACCTCAGGTGGCACGCAGCCCTCACCTGCTGTTTCTACTCCTCATCATGAATCACGGGGGACTGGAGCCAATCCCAGCTGACATTGGGCGAAAGGCGGGGTACACCCTGGACAGGTCGCCAGTCCATCGCAGGGCCATCATGAATCTACATTTTATTATTTTATCTCTAATATTTAAACTTACATTTTTAAAAAGGATGTCTTTCATGCAGCAGTGGTAAATACATTCTCTAGTATTGTACTCCACTGCAATTCAAAGGGGAGATATTCTTTTTACTCCACTACATTTGTTCTAGAGCTTTGTTTTTCTAGTTACTTTACAGACTTGAGGTTTTATATATGTAAAAAAAGTGAGACTATAAAAAATGATACATGTTAAAGATTACTACTCATCGGTGTATAGAATAGTTAAAATCAGCTTCACCTCATCCACCTACAATATTAAAATACTACTTATACATTATTGCATCAGTAATAATAATCTAATAGTGTAATATATAATAATAAAACACTCACAGGGGCCATTTTTCTGCATTATCAGTGCGTTTACTTCTGATATTTGATATGTTTTGCTAGGAATACTAGTAATGCTTTTACTTAAATTGCATTTTAAATGCAGGACTTTTACTTGTAATTGAGTACTTTTATATTGCAGTATTGCTGTTTTTACTGAAGTAAATGAACTAAGTGCTTCTCTGCCTCTTTCTTAGTTAATGTAGGCCAAAACTGAAAACATGTACAGTATGTATAACCTCACATATTGTAGCACACTTGATGTGCTAATAGATGTTTAATCAAGAACACAGTGCACTAGTGACTGTCATACTTTCCTCTGTTTTCTCTGTCTGTGCTCCTCTGTATGTCCCTCGTGAGGCTGGATTGGCTAGTATGTGGATTGTTTTTTATTTCTTTAGCTGAGGCTTTTTTAGCTACAATACATTGTTATTGAGACACTTTTTTACACCCAACACGCTAATATAGTTCAAATTAGCTACAACCAAACCAGCTACAACAGTAAAATGTTACCAATACTTGATTGCATTCAGTAACAATTGAATGTAATGTTTATTGGGGCATTTTTTTGCAAAAAGAATACTTTTATTTTGAATACTTTGAGAAGACCTTAGCAGCAAATCCTTAAGGTCCTGTAAGTTGCGAGGTTGCAAGGTGGGACCTCCATGGATCAGACTTGTTTGTCCAGCACATCCCACAGATGCTCGAATGGATTAAGATCTGGGTAATTTGGAGGCCAAGTCAACACCTTGAAGTTGTTGTTTTTGTGTTCCTCAAATCATTCCTGAACCATTTTACTTTGTGGCAAGGCACATTATCCTGCTTGCCGCCTTCCCATTGTGCATCCTGGTGCAATGTGTTTTTGATTGATGGTCATGCATTTTTATCTCTTCCTTGCACTCTCCCTCCATCTCTCCCCCTCCTTCACCATATTTTAAAAAATCCAAAGTACAAAGTAGACATCTAACTGAGTTATCCAATCAGTGGCAAACCATCAGACATTCGTAAACTTCATATGGTCACATTAACGCACAGACTTGAGCACCATATTTCAGAATCAGCTCCTTTTAGCAAAACTATAGTATTGTATTCAATAAACCAACATAAACTAAGTTTCCAGGCTTTGTACTTTCCCTGCAGTATAGAGTCTGTTGCAACTGCCCGTCCTTGACGAATGACTGTGTAGTGACGGGCCCGTGTTTACTCAGTAAGTAATGATTAGTTTAGAGGATCCACTTCCCAAATGACTCAGTAATTTGCAAGTGAACACTGCTGAATCTGATATAAAGAGCGGTCCGGCTAATACTCAACCATCTAGAGAACAACAGTAAGTTTACTTTTGTTACTGAACATCATGTGCATGAACTGGCAAATGATTTGTGGTTTACTTTGTGGTCAGACAATTTGCAAGTTTGAAATGCTTATATGTATGCCCATGCAAGTTTTCTGTTGTGTAATCTCACTTTTAATCATCCGTTTCCTAGTAATGAAGCCCTGGTGTGCCCTTGCTTTCCTTTGGTTGGCATATTTCTGCCATGGCACACTGTCCTGCCCGGCACTTTGTAAATGCTACATCAGAAGAGCAGAGGTGGTCTGCAATGAGGTTCCTCTCACAGAGTACCCCTCCGAGGGTCTCCCGAAGAACACCACCATGCTGACCATCCAGTACACAAACATCACCTCCATCTCCGAGCAGCAGGTAAGCGCCACGCCCCTGCTGCAAGAGCTCCACCTGTACAGCAACCACCTGCAGAGCCTTTCCTCTCATCTTCTCAGAGGCGTTCCTCACGTCAGCACTTTGGATCTCACAGGAAACAAACTGTCTGACCTGCCTGCGGATGTCTTCAGCCACGCCACGCTCCGCAGCTTGGTGCTGAAGAATAATCTGATTGAAAAAGCTGGTGCAGCGTGGCTTCCTGATAACAGCAGCCTCACCTGGTTGGACTTATCTGGGAACCGTTTAACGGAGATGCCAACTGCTCTGCTTCAGAAGCTGCCCCACCTGGAGAATCTGGACCTTTCCAACAATCGTCTGGAGAAGATCTCTGCAAATTCTCTGGACTCCATGACCAAACTCGAGAGGCTAAACCTGCAAAACAACAAGCTAGACACCCTGGATGCATCTATACTTCAGAGCACCCATAACCTCACGTATCTGTTCCTCTCCCGGAATAAGCTCAACAAACTCCCCCAAAACCTATTTCAGGAGCTCACTCAGCTCAAACTCCTGAGTCTGGATGACAACCAGCTGAAGCACATCCCTGCAGGTTTGCTGGACCCTCTGGACTCACTGGACGAGGAGGGGCTGGACCTGACCACCAACCCCTGGCTGTGTGATGGGAAGATGGAGTACCTCTGGAGGTGGCTTCAGAAGAACAAGAAGAAGGTCTTCCTGCCAGAGACTATCATTTGTGCCAGTCCGCAATCTCTGGTGGGGCGCTCAGTTCTGTCACTGACAGAAAGTGAACTAAACCTTCAGTCTTAACATTTTCTATCCTATGGTTACTGGTTATTATCTGATATGGTAATGTACCCAGTTCAGCCTGTCATCACTTACTTACTGTTCAATCACTGAAACAATCCATAATGTGACTGTATAATTAAATACGATGTGAATAAAGAGATGTCTGTCTTTCCTTGCACTTTAATTACAGATAAAATGTGTTGTGAAAAGAATAGTTTGACATTTTAATTAATGAGCATTAGTGTTGGTAGGTGGATTTTTGGACCAGTCAGACTAGCTGTTTCCAGTGTTTATGCTAAGCTAAACTAATCGGCTCCTGGCTGTAGCTTCATATTGACATATTGAACCAACAGACATGAAAGTGGTATCACTCTTCTCATCTAACAAAGCGATTAACCATACTTCCTTTAACAGACTGTATGTTCTTCAAAAGGAGAAATCCAAACACCAAGAATGTGATTATGAAGATAAAGTAAAGGACTAAATTCCAATTTCTCATTCATTCAACTTTTTGTTGCACGCCTCAATGATTTACAAGTCACACTGGAAATAACTTGAAATATTATACCACTGCGTAAATAAGTCTTCTTGCAGGACTGAAAAAAGAAAATATTGATTTGTGTGTGGTAACATATTCACTTTTAGAAAGTACAGAAGAAAGTAACCACTCACCAGTTGATGAGCTGGTTTGTTTGCTTGGTTTTGTTTGCCCTTGCAACATTTTGTCCTGACTCATTTCTGGGAATAAATGTACTCAACATTGTATAAATACCAGTCCGTAATCAAAAACTGAGGGAATTTTGCTGTGCCTTTCAGGTAGGATTATGCATTTATGACCAAATTTTCACAATTCAAAACAATAACTTAGATTATTAGATAGTTTTGATATCCTGGAGAAATATGTCTCTTATATGTGTCCTTTCTGTAGTGCTTTAAAGATGAACTTGTGGATACTCCTGACTTTCACTGCAGTAGCTGAATGCGGATACCAAAAAAGAGGCGCCCACTCGTGCCCAGATCTGTGCTCCTGTTCCTTTCCACCTTCAGGTGCAGAGGTGGTGTGCAGCCAAAGGTCCCTCACACATTTCCCTGTAAATGGTTTACCCTCCAACACCACTCAACTATCCATCCAATCCACCAACCTCAGCTGTATTACAGCCAGTCATTTGAGTGCTGTGCCCCTTTTAAACAACCTCCAGCTGTATCACAACAACCTGACAAGTCTTCCTTCAGATCTACTGAAGGATGTTCCTCACTTGAACACCTTTGATCTGACGGGTAATCAGCTGGTTCATCTTCCTCCAAATGTCTTCAGCCACCCCTCACTTCATAGTCTTGTGCTGAAGAATAATCTTATTGAAAAGGCTTATGCTGAGTGGTTTCCTGACAACAGTACCCTGACCTGGCTGGACTTGTCTGGAAACCTTTTAACAGGTGTGTCCGCTGCTCTGCTTAAGAAGCTACCCAATCTGGAGAATCTAGACTTGAGTGATAACAATCTGCAGGACCTAGAACCTGACGCCCTGAAGAACCTGCACCACCTGGAGTCACTGAATCTTGCGGGGAACAAGTTAAGCTCCCTAAAACCTACAATTTTCACCCACAACCTGAAACTATCCCAACTGTTTTTTCAGGAGAATCAGCTTCAAGAGCTACCAGCGACCCTCCTACAGGGTCTCCCAAATCTTGAACTTCTACTGCTCAATCAGAATCAGCTGCAGCAATTCCCGTCAGGGCTGCTGGATGGGAGGAAATCCTCTTTCCGCATAATCTTAACAGGAAACCCTTGGGTGTGCGATGAGAAGATGGAGTACCTGTGGAAGTGGCTCTCTGTCCATCCTCAAAATGCCGGCTTTTTGGAGGAAGTGACTTGTGCAGGGCCTGAAGCTCTTAAGCATCGAAAAGTGGCTTCTTTAACTGAAATTGAGCTTGGACTTCACGAGATTCAAAAAGAGTGATGAGGAGATAGATATTTTGCCAGTACCCTGTATATTCCGCAAAAAGTTTATGCCAAATTATAAATCATTCACATATATTCCTATGTATCAAAGGCTGAAATAAAACGTAGTTCTTTTATCCAGCACTGCTTTTTTTGTTATCTCTCCTTGATCTCTCCATTTTTTGGATACTGTCCAGCCCACTGGGTGGCGTAAGATACACAATACATTTCAAAGCAATTAACTGAACAGAGAGCATAGCTTGTTTAAGACCCAATTTACTCAGAAGATCCTCAAAATTGTGTCATAGCAGACCCTGATACCAATTATTATGTTATTGTATTTATTGTTTTAACTATCTGTGAGGCACATAAAGTAAGTAAATATAATTCAAAATATGGACAAACTAGATTTTAAATCATACATTCTTAAATGAAGAGTCAAAAAAGCTGTCATTAAGAGAAGAAATGATATTCAGTGGCGTCACAGAATTGCAACAAATTATTGAGCTCTTCCCTCCGTCCTTGATGTGTTTTTTACGACATTTAAGGTGAACGCTTACTCCAGCATATCTGTCTCACTTGTTGGTTGCATCACAGACTGCAGCATTGTCTCAGTCGTGCCTTTTTGTTTTTAATGATGTTGAGCATGTGGGAGTGCGTGGGCAGTGCAATGGCTGAGTCTTCCAGCTGACCCCTTCTGGATGTGTTTAAATCTCTCTCTCTCTCTCTCTCTCTCTCTCTCTCTCTCTCTCTCTCTCTCTCTCTCTCTCTCTCTCTCTCTTTCAAAGAGTATATATGTATGTGTATATGCTCTGCATGCCCCCACACACCTGTCCTCAAGCCATGATCTCGGTGAGTGCACCCCAAATGTAATTTATTATTGTTATAAAATATAAAACATTGCCTCCTCAAGAGGCTGTTACTTATGAAAATTAAACCTTGTTTATAAATTTTCCCCAAGGAGCGCATGGTAAACTTTGATGTCGGCCTTTCGTGCTACTTCTCTAAATTGTATCCTGGAGGTTAAAGGTTGAGGACGTGGGTTTGCTGGTCCGAATCCTAATTCCCTCTTATAATAATTACCTCTGGAGGAAAACAGTTTTGAGGAAAGTGCTCAAAGGCACTCTCCTCTCCCTAACAGCTACTGCAGCTCTTTGGGCAAGACATTTAATCTCTATGTTCCTGTGAACCCCGCCAGGCTCTGATGTTTGCAAGTGTGTAATGGTGGGCGGGGCGTTCCCTGGATAAATGAGGATGAGGCTTCCCTGCCTTGATTGGTATGGAGGAAAGGAGCCTGCTTTCTGGCTCGATGCTGTACTGTTGGCTAATGATGACTGAGTGATGCTGAAATCTGAAAGGTCACGGGAAAGGTTTTCACGCACTTCAAATTACTGTGGCCTTTCTCACTCTGTGTTATAATAATGGAGACATGATCATCTTTGATAGGTGCTCATTAGCAATGGTGCACTAATAACTTAACATTAACACAAGAGTGTCTCTCAGTGTATATTTTCAGGTAATAAACTCTTTGTAAAACTTTGTATTTTATTTTATTTGTAGTTTTATGCTTTCTTTGAGGTGTTCATTTTTATTCTATACATTTTGTTTTTTTCAATTTAGTTCTGCACCAGTAAGAATTTTGAAAATCTTTTCTAATCGATTCATCAATGAACTGTAAAACTGTGTATTATTAACTCTCATTTCAATTCTAAATGCGCAGTGGTGGAAAGTATATTTACTCAAGGAAGTACAATATCCTCTACATTTCAGGGGTAAATGATTTTTTTAGTGCAATGTTTACTGAACAGCTACAGTAGTATGGTTACTTTGCAGACAAATATTTAAAAACCTTGAAGGAGCTTATAAAATAATATAATGCTTTGTTATAGAATGAACTAACCGACATACACAAGTTCTGCTTGCTTGTACCTGTAATAATCAGTATAATAGCACTCACTCAAACATGCCAGTTTGCATGATATTAAATATAAAGAAAATTTTGCTGATAATACTTGAAACTAAAATATAAAGCAATAGTTTGACATTTTGGGAAATATTATTTGCTTTTTTTTTATTGCAAAGCATTAAATGACAAGATAAATTTCACTCTCGTATCTGTCTGTGTCTCTTTATCTGTCAGCTTAGCTTAAAGACCTACTAGCACCTCTAAAAGTCAGTAATTAATACCTTATGACTTGTCTATTTAATCCATACATAACCAATGTTTAAAATACAATCTGACAGACTATTTCTTGGTCTCTGTTGGTTGCTTAAAAACATATCCTGGCCAAGACATAATCAAGCATAACCCCCCATAACCCGCGACCCTGTACGCAGGATGAGCGGTCAACGATGGATGGATGGATGGATGCATAACCCCCCATAAAACCACTAATTAGCATTTGTAGACTTTCTTGTTGTACGACATTAATTAAACATGATATAATGTGTTAATTAGCATTAGTGAGCTTTAGAGGTGCTGGTAGGCAGATTTTGTTAGGTTGTTAGGCTAGCTGTTTCCCACTATTTCCAGTCTGTATGCTAAGCTAAGCTAACCGACTGCTGGCTCTAGCTGTATAGCCTATTAACTGACAAACATGAGAGAGGTATAAATCTTCCCAACTAACACTTGAATAAACATATTTCCCAAAGTATTAAACTATTGTGTTAAATCAAAGACTTATTATATTGTTTTTATATTGTAGTTTTAATATTAAGGATCAGAATATGTGTTCCACCACTGAAAATGTGATTTTACTCTGCGGTCTCATTGTGTTTGAAGTGTTACTACAGGACGGTCGATCCAAGACTGTGGGCTGAAGTAAAATTAATCGCACCTCTAACAAGACACACATCCATCAATAAACACGTCTGTTCACTGCAGTTGTGCAGCTTTATTCTTCAGCCTTGATATTTTGCAGGTCACACTCACCTTCATACCTTATGTGTATTTGAGCTCATGCTGAAATAAGAACAAAGGTTGACTCATTAAAAGTTTGCCTAAAGGTGGGTGAGAGGAGTCACACTGTGGCTGCCTTCAGGAGCTTGAGGCCATTACCATGCAAGCACTTAACAACAGTAAAACACTCCCACTGAGCCCTTTATCAACCTTCCCACGCTTTTTACTCAGGATTGACAGTATTATGTTTATGCCTCAAACCTGTGCATATTCAGGACCAGCATGCATTGCATTTTACAGCCCTCATCTAGCATGTTTAATCAATGTTACAATAAGCGGAAAGTGGCGAATAGGGAAAGAAATAGCATGATCCCATGCATTGACCTGCATTGTTGATTTTATCTCATTTGCCTGCTCACAAATCATTGCTCTACTTTAAAACATGGGGAAAGGAATGTTTTGTTGCATGTTTTGTTACCTTTGAGCATTATGTCATTATTGGCAAATAGAATTGAGCTTGCTTGCTACTGTATGATTGGTTGTTGTAAATGGCCTCTGTTGCTCTGCAGGGAAATGGGCTATTAGGAGGCTCATCCTGTTTAACACCCTGCCACAAGCAGAAGCTTTTTTATTGCAGGAATAAAGGTTTTGATAGAGGCTACTTCAATATCGCCACATACAGACAGGAACCACACAGAGAACACGTTCGCATTTGATATAACCACTATTTATCCATTAAAAAATCCATTCACAGATGAAAATGCAGACAGAAATTAGATAAGTTGTTAACCATATTTTATTTATTTTATATGTTACACTGTTCTAACATACATTCAATTATGTGTTAAATTGTGTCTGAGTAGCTTGAAAGGACTACGTAGTTTAATTTCGTTTCACAACCTTCTGCTGTACAATGATAAATAAACTACCTTGATAATCAAGATCAAGATAACTTTTCAGTGCACAGAAATTGCTTTGCATCTGCCTCACAAAGGTAACTGAAAAACACTTTAGGAACCGAAAAAGGCAAGGAATAAACCACGTCTCTGTGAAGGCCAGAGCGCAGCAGTCATTAAATCTCAAATATCAAGATGACAACAACACAAATGTAATGGTAACAAGATTAATGGAGGACACCAAGCAGCAGTGATGACGCATGTTAAGAGAGATGATGCATTGGTTTATGGAGCTTGCTCTATTTTCTCAGCCAGTAGAGCTTGTTTTTTGGTTTAAGGCAAGGAGAAGAAAAAAAACCCCTGATAAGATGGTGATGAGAGACTGGAAACTCCTGAGTAACCATTAGCAAAGAGAACAGACAAATCTCAAGTTTTTGCTTAAAGGGCTGGTTCATGATTATTACTAAACACACATTTTCTCACCTACTGTAATTTTATTTGTGGTGGCCACATCATTGGAAAGTTATATTTAGAAAGCACTTCAAAAATAAAGGCTTGTGCAGTGTTGCAAAGTAAATATATATATATATATATACAATTTTGAAGTATTTACTACTCTACTTGAGTATTTCCACTTTCTCCTACTTTAGGCTATTTCTACACTGTGGTATTGCTACTACCTAAGCAAAGCATTTCAACAATTCTTCCACCACCTGTGATGAGGTATGCTTTAAACAATGTAGGCTAGTTGTACATCATGATCTCCACCCACATCTGATGGAAAATGTGTTATCGTAGAGATAGACGGGAACAGTGCTAATTTTTTGACAGAATGTTCTGAAAATGTCCTGTCAAGCACTTTGAATTACCTTGTTGTTGAAATGTGCTATACACATAAACTTGCCTTGCCTTGAAAAGCATTCATGAGGTGCCACTAGTTTGACCTGAAGACCCAAAAGTAACAGTAAAGAAAGTGCTTTGAGAGAGAAGTTCAATTCCTGCTCACTTTCTTACTGCCACACACCTAGTTAATCGTTGCATGAAGTAGGCGCTCTTGATGGGTTGTAAATTATGGAAAGTTATACAAATTGTTGGATTCACCCATCTCAATTCAATGTCAGAGATGTGTGTGGGGTTTGTTTGAAGCAAACAGATCCTTTTAAGTCCCTTTTAACCAGATGGTATTTGCTCAACTCGCCTAGGCTCTACGCGGTTCATTGGTTTTCCATTATTATGGGGATACTACATCTTCAATGGAAAACGGAGGACGGGTGCCCGAGAGTCCAGTAGAGGCGAGTCAAGGCAGGTTGACCTGGTAATGGGTAAGCACCATTAGTGTCCCTGTTAAT